ATGTTCTCGTGTGGTCTGCAACGACATAAATTAATACCTTTTTATCTGTTTTGGGACACTCATTTTTCGCGGGAAATGAAAGTCGAGAAAAAAGCGATATTAACTTAGTACCCCTTCCGATTGTACACTTTCTCATTTGTTGATTTTACGTGGGAACAAAGCACCGATGATCACATCTAGGTCAGACTGATAGCGGGAAAAATGTATGAATGAATGTCATGTGACTAAGAACTCGTGTTTTAATGTCACATGATTTAAAGCTGACATGAATTCTTAAAAACGCAACATTTTCATCTATGTACGACTTGTTTCATACCAACTATAGCCGTATTCCGCCATATTTCTTTCAGATACCTTGTCTCATTGTAACGATATATACCCCAATGCCCTCGTTACACTTGAATGATTTTTTGGCTTGGGTATCGACTTGTGCACATCTCCGATGGTAAAGCATATGAGAACACATGAGCTGATCAAGACTTTTCAAAACCACAGTAAACAACATAATATTCATATTTCTGAATGATTATTGATTTGAATCAAAAGTAAAAAAGAAAAAGAAAAAATTGCAAGTTTGGAAGAGAAATTTAGTTGCATGTTTACGTATTTTTACAGTGCGCCGATTTTTTGCAGAATAAACTTGAAATAAAAAGCAGTAAAATCCGCAAACACATTTTGAAATTATTATCATTTGAATTGAATAAAACAACCAATGTCTTTGATTTGCAGGTCCTATGCAATCGATGCATATCGAGAAGACGCCTCGAACGCTGTAAACGTACCCATACCTGGTAATAAGGTTACTGCATCGGTTCGAAGACGTGCACGAGTAAAGTGATAAACACCCTGAATTCCATTTATTGAAATATGCATCACAAAAAAGAAATACACTCCATAAAAGCCCAATAGTAAACACACTGTCACTACTCCGTACAGACTAGCACGTCGAGACAGTCACTTAGTCCGTGCTGATCAGATTTCGGTCAGGGAAAATACAACAAGTGGAAAGAGAAGTTATATGGTATTTTGGTATTTGCGCGGCTGAAAGGGGGGGGTTGTATTATAACTGCTGTTCATAAGGTATATAACTGTAAATTGTCTATCTACATGAAGTTCTAATATACATTCTATACAAAGTCATGTATGTAGTCTGCAGTTGGTTTGCGTCGCAAAATTCATTTGTCAATTATAACTGATTATTTTAATACTAATCTCAAATCTAAACCAAGTAATTTGATGCACGGTAATTATTTACTTCAAATCTTAAAAGCAATTAACCAGAATACAATTTTTTATGTGTACATCTATACGTTCTTTAACACACACACGAAGAGAAAGGCAATCGCCTGTTCAGATTGACATTTAGGCATTTGATTTTTTAGGCGAGAGGGGGGGGGGGCATGCAAAAATTGACATGACCGTTATTTAAATAATCTTGGAAAACAGATATTTCTGGAATCTTAAATTCTAAGATTTTTTTTTAAAATGTGTCGCTCCGACCACAAAGTATGTGCATTTTGCGGAATGTAACTGTTTGAGAGGAACGTATTAACTGTTTTATAATTATGCTGTTACAAGAAAGTCTTTCGAGATTTTAGTATCCCTGCCTGACAGTCTAGCTATGTTTTTTTTTATTAAGGTCTTACGTTTCCAACGGAAGACCTTCTACTGATTCTGTTGGTAAAGATTATTATTCTTTTTTTTTCTTCTCTTTCCTAGACGCCAACTTTGAGGCCTCATATCTCACTTATTTATCAACGGATTTGGCTCAAATTTTCAGACATTATAGACATTATTAAACTCTATCAGAGTGTTATCTAACATTTTAAAAATTCACTTCCGCTTTTGAGTTATTCCCCTTTAAACGAAAATTGACAGGCTTTCGTTTCCGGATAAAGGCTCAGAGACCACAAAAGCTGCAGCAGAATTTTTACTGATTTTAGGTAACAGAAGGATTGAAATTGTGCACATCGGTTTTTGTTTTTCGATTTCTGTATTCACAATGGCGCTTTATAGGGGTCAAAAATTAGAACGCCTAAAAGAGCGAAAATTTACACGTATTTTCCTTTTTATCTTGAAAACTAAAAATATTTTGTTAAGACATAATGAACAAAAGTTGTGTATAATTGCAAGGGCTTTCATATAATAATATTCAAAAGGGGCTGGCCCCTATAAATAGGGATCAAGGGACCTTGAAAGTTTTTGCTTTATAACTCAAAAACGGTAAATATTTCGAAATGACTATCGATTATAAAGTTGTGCTTTAACATCTTACTGATCTCATGAAATTGTTATTGTGTTCGAGTCTTGTTTTAAATTAGCTGGTGCATGACCTATATATGCACAGGTAATTCTTTTCACTCAGCACGTAAACAAGAGCTCCTCATGCGTGTAACCAAAGCAAGCTTACTATAAATAATAAAAATGGCTACATTGGATTCTAATATTCTTCAGAATAAAGTTCTTGAAGTGTTTGTGCTTTTTTTCTTCCAAATTATCATGTTTATTCACTGACAACTTTCCCTTTTATTTCATTTTTTTTTAAAAAATCGTATAAACCAAGTCTACTAAAAGGGGGGGGGATTATAATCTTTTCTTCTTATCACATAAAAACAAACAATAAAGTGAGAAAATAAAACATAACTAAAAAGCAAATATACTATTCACAGCTATTAAGTGCACGGCTTTAACATTCACCTTGTTTGTTTACAATTATATAACGCGCCTCCCTCGATAGTGGCGGGGCAAAGTCGGTCACCGGGAATCAATCGGCGTGATCCAGCTACATACAGTCATACACAAAAAATAAACAACCACAGAATAGTTAAATTAATTCTTGATAAAATTGTTCCTTTTTATACTATCTCTGCCCCATCAAAATATTTTTTTTCGTGTCTTACGTATGGTAGGAAAGAAAGCTAGATCCGCATTCACCGTAAACAAGGCTCCGTTCTCATTTTGATATTGAAGAATAATTGAAATAAACTTGCCGTAAGTAATAAATATTTTACAACGCTGTATCATATCTCTTTTTTAAATTAGGTTTAAAACGTGTTCTTTGTTTCCCGTTCATAGTATTCGATAATATCATTTTCCTTTTATTAATAAAGATCTTTCCAACTCCAAGAGAAAGAGTTATAGAAAAAAAAGTACGAGTATCTTTTCGTTTGAATATAAACACAAACAATTTGAACGGCAACATATAATATACGCCCGGATTTCATAAAAAAAACTTTTAAGAGTCAAATAATACACAATTATTTGCTGCGCGATTCTCATATTCACCTGGAACCCCGATACATTCTTTCGATTACACGCGGCCGAGAAATTCTAAAGCGACACACCCCGGTGAACCATTGACCCCGCAGTCATAGGCAAAATAATTGGTATATTCAAACCATTCTACAACAGTAAACAAATATTATTTGCTCTAAGTAAATTAAATCTTTCAAAAATATCTTAAAATGTTTTAGGTTTGACTTTAGTATAAAACGCTGGGGCATTTATTTTACATGTACATAAATCAGTCTTCAATTTTTAAATATTCGTTAGCTCCATGTGTAATTTGACGATGCATAGCACAAGGACTGGCGATCTTCAGTTACTTTACCTCAACCCATATTTATTAAAATGCGCAAGCTTTGCTCTTTTCACACACAAATAAATCCGTTTTCAACAAAAGTTTTCATCAAAGATATTAACCATGGCAATACCAATTTTAAACTTTTAAAAGGAATCTTCCGAATCGTATAAAGATAGAATTATACTCGATGAAATGGATTAAACATAAGTAACACCGGCACGTGTAAACTTCATAAGTGACTTCTGTGCTGCACACTGTCTATTTATATATATTACAGGTTTTATAGTAAAGTTCAAGAAATAATGATTTTAAAGCAATGAACTTAATTTGTTTTTATAATTTATTCAAAACCCGTATAAATGATTAGTATCGTGTGCTAACATTGTAATTTTGTTCCGCGATTAAATATCAGTAGCAGGTTATACAATGTACATTCAAGTAGTAATAAACCCGCATTGTATGTCCAGAATCGAAAATCTAAGAACTTATATATCGGGGTAACAATCTTATCTGAATATTACAGACTTATCATGTAATTACACGCTTTTACAACCTAAATTAAACTGTTAAAATCATAACCGGCAGCAAAGTCAAACCATGTGTAACGTTTACCGTATATAACTCAGTATTTTCTTTAAAATTATGAACTTTATATCTATAGCGCAAATTACTTTCCTTGGTTTAAAAATACGCGTACGAGAGAAAGCGAGTGAGAGGCATTTTATTCAAGTACATTCATGTTTTTACCAGCGAGTCCCTGTATCAAGTATTGTCTAATTTTTATTCTATTACACATAATCTCCGTTTCCTATGTAGATTTAATTTATTTGATAATTTTATTCAGCTTCAAGCACAATATCATTATGTAGACAATAGTACTAAAATGAAGTCCATGCACGGATGCTATTGTACATCGGGAATTTTCTTTAATCATTTATCCATGCATTCCTCCTTCAAGGGACATAATTATGAATAAATTGATTGAATAACGTGTATACAACCATGTCGTTTCGGTTTGTCAGCGTGTTTTAGATCATGATCAGCAAATCACAACTCCTCGGATCTTCCTGTCTAACAGAATAATAACCTCGAATGTATAAGGCGATATATCAAGACATCCCCATGCTCCTCACCCCCATTTTACCCAAACTTTGAAATAAATGAGGAAAGATATTTTATTTGTGGACTTTTGAGTTTAATTTTATTGAAAGTAAAGCTAGCTATTACCTGGGTACATCCCACTAATTATTTTTAGAATCGGTAGGAGAAGAAAGTAGTGCAGAAAAAATTACAAGTTCCTTAAATTGCAGACTTGCATAAAAAAAATTGGGCAGGTGTACTGAACCGAGCCTCACACTTGTTGATAAGGAGTATCTTTCCTGCCAAAAAAGCTCTGAAAATGTAATTTATCAAGAAGATCAGCCGAATTATTTTGTGTATTATAACGCCAGTGAGAATTCTGAAATTCCCCTACTTTCACTTTCATTTTTAGAGGTTCCCGCAGACAGACGCATTTTGCCGGAAAACGAATCTGACATGCCACCTCGAGATTTTAACCAAGGAAAGACAAGTTGATGTGCTTTGATTTGAGGGGTCACTCACTACCGAACGAAAATTAGGGACATCGCTATGAGAAGAAACGTTAACATTGTCGCCTATGGGAAAACAATTAGTGGACTGTACCCATATTAGGAAGCCTATAAGTAAGTGGAAGATGTCATAAATCTTGAATTTATTTCAGAGTTGTTGTTTTCTATTATTTTCAATTGTTCAAATTTATGAAAAAAAACAATTCTTATATTGTTGATACACATTTTTAAACAAATTGATTCATAAATAAAGTGTCTAGCCCCCCCCCCCCCGAAACAGTCAACATGTATCACCCATTGTTTACACATGTATCATGTAGATTAAATGTATCGATTTATATAATTTATTTATTCAGAATCGTAAATGTATAAATTGATTAAGAAGCAATTATGTAGAAGTACATGCTCCACTGTGGTTTATTTCCAATACACAAAAATTCACAAATGAGTTCGGGATCGGTATTCAATCGAGGTCAAGGTCGAAGTGAAAGTAGACTTAGCAGAAAGTTATCAAAACTGTTCAGGGCAGTGTTAAGCAGTATATAGGTGATGGGCATTTGTATTTTACACAGGAGGTAAGAGGTATACCTTAGTACAATATTTGTAAATAACAATTTAATGTTTTTGGAACATGTCGATGATCGGCACGTCACATATGCATACTTGACATACATGATACATCATTTCAGATCAGTTGCGCAGTCAAGCTGCATGGGTACAGTTGTCTGGGAGTTAAACGATGTGTGTGAACATGCACATTAACTGATTTTTCTCATATTTTTTAGCAATTGCATTACATGTATTTGTTGAATGTTCAATTATTGTCAGTAAAACATGATTTTTACCTATTATGCTGAATTAACTTAATTACCAATGTAAACAGTGTGATTTCAGGTGGGATAAGCAAAATAATCATTTTTTAAATTAATTAAGTTCAAGTAATGGGCATAAAAGGAATATGGTAAAATTGTACGTGTTGAATGTCTGTGTGTCTGTCTGTCTGCAAATGTGATATTGTACCATTTATTGTATTGATTTTTTTTTTAAGGTTCATGGTGATTGGTACAGGAAAAACATGAGGTCCATGCAGATGGTGTTTAATACTATTGGGCAGCAAATGCACACCCATTTGAATACATCTTGAAAAAGAACCAGCAAAATGTGACAGTCGGCAAAATATGTAAGTTTAAGTTTTCTAAAAAAAAATTTCATTGAAGTGGGAGGATGGGGTGGGGGTGAGGAAATTTACATATTAAATAGGTGATCAGAATGTGAAAGCATTTAGCTATAACTAATCTGTACATTCACTGCTATATACATTTTGCAGCTCATATAGATTTTCTTTTCTTATTTAAAATTTTCAAATTAATTAGATCTACATCTTTGTTTTGTAAATTATGCATTATTAAGATTACACGGATATAAGAATTGAAATTTCATGAATATTTGACAGTCAAAATTATGCGATTTGTCAGGAAATTCAAAATTTTGTCTCATTTTCCTACAAATTACAAAATGGTTACCATGGAAACAAAACAACTTTAGTGAACTATTTATTTAATCTGCAACACCACATATTTTTATTTTTTAAAGTAAATAATAGTATATAAGCACTGATTTTGTCTTAAATGAAAAGTACGGGAAAAGTAATGATACACATGTATTGATCTATCAATTACTATGATGTCATTGTGACGTCATAGATGAGTAAATTTGCATTGGTGTGAAAATTGCTTTGAAACAAATGATTTTATATAGGATTATTAAGGCTTATAACTTTTTCATTCATAGTCCAAATTTCATGAATGATACATCAATGGACAGGAAATAATCAGTACTTTTTTATTTTACTACTTTCGGGGTATTTGTGAACTTCATTTTTTTGTCATTTCTGGAGAAACTATGAATTAGAGGGTGAAAAGTGGTCATATTTTGTGCGGAAATACATTAATTTTTTAAAATAAGTGAAATTGACCCAATTAAGTGCTTGATTATGATTTGACTATATGTATTTAAAGATATGAAGGTGATTAAGAATGGTATAAATGTGTTAATAGGCTAAAATTTGACTCAAAACTTGGGTGCATTTTTGGCTAGATTGGAGCATTTTTTAAGGATATTACACATAGAACTGTAAATGCTGTAAAATCTTAATTATTTGTTGAATTTTCATGAAACTTGGCATGATGTCTCTACTTATGCTCTAGATTGACAAACAGTGTGAAATATTGTAAAATCAAAAAAATGCTTTTTCATATTGGGTACATCCCACTAATTATTTTTAGAATCGGTAGGAGAAGAAAGTAGTGCAGAAAAAATTACAAGTTCCTTAAATTGCAGACTTGCATAAAAAAAATTGGGCAGGTGTACTGAACCGAGCCTCACACTTGTTGATAAGGAGTATCTTTCCTGCCAAAAAAGCTCTGAAAATGTAATTTATCAAGAAGATCAGCCGAATTATTTTGTGTATTATAACGCCAGTGAGAATTCTGAAATTCCCCTACTTTCACTTTCATTTTTAGAGGTTCCCGCAGACAGACGCATTTTGCCGGAAAACGAATCTGACATGCCACCTAGAGAGAGAGAGAGAGGAGAGAGAGAGAGAGAGAGAGAGATTTTAACCAAGGAAAGACAAGTTGATGTGCTTTGATTTGAGGGGTCACTCACTACCGAACGAAAATTAGGGACATCGCTATGAGAAGAAACGTTAACATTGTCGCCTATGGGAAAACAATTAGTGGACTGTACCCACCTAAAATAAGTATTATGGAAGGGACTTTCATAAATAGAAACTCCATGTTGTTTGAATATTAATATCCGGTGATGTTTTAAAATACCTCAGTGTTGTTTTTCTGACCTTTGACAAAATGGAACGAGATAATGCAAATTTCAAACATCTTCATCGGCCAATGACAGAAAAGTTGCAAAATTCCTTTCAGTGTTATGAACTTCTAATCACTAAAAGGTGTTTGTCTTGACACAGAGCCAAGATTATTCGGTTAAGATCAAGGTCACTGACAGAAGATATATTTTATTTCCCACGTTATGAATAAGGCCTAGTAACTGAAAATCATTGGAGGCTTTTACTTGAAACATGGATTACTTATGATTCTAGGTTGTGTATGAGGCTGATCAAATGTCTCTCTGGCAAACCAAGGTCACTAACAGAGAAAAAATGTTTACATTAATAAGCATTACTTTGTAATTAAGATTCACTGGAGGCTCATGCTGAAAAGAAAAGTTGTTCACATAAGAAAGTGCGTCGGTATATCCACAGCTCCAACGAACGACCTACTCGTTGCTTTGCAACGAGCTCGGCTCTAGTATAAATATAATTTCTGTAGGAGTGTTTGGGAGATAATTTTAAAAGCAAGGGTAGGAATACTTGAAACCTGCATTTACTCTAATTGTATATTGAACTCCCTCTCTCTCAGTCTCTCTCTGTAACTATCCGGTAGGACAATAATAGGTATAAAATCCTACGCACTTTGTGCTGTACCATTTATTAAGCCTTATAGGGCAGATCAAGGATTTTTTTTCAGGCGGGATGTCAAAACTCAATTCATAAATTGAATAATAATTTTACTTTGGACAAGATATTAACCTAAACGCCCAATTTGAAAGAGACACCAGAGGTATTGTAAGCAATGAGCTCACTAAATGATACCCCCGCCTCCCATATGGTTATAATGGCAAAGTACATATTTTGCTGTTGTCGGTAAACCCAACCTATGTGTCAAAGAGGCTCAAAAAGTAAAATAGGGGTTGCAAAATGGTAATATGTAATATATTGTATGTATATTGAGATTCTGCGAAAATTTCATTAAATTTCACTCAGTGGTATGAGTATTTGCGGATAAGAGATGGGTCCCCAAAGCGTAACAGACATCTACGGACGGACGGACGGACGTACAAATGGACGGACATAACGATTACTATATACGTGTAACGTGAAATATACATCACAGAAATGGGTACAATGGGAACTTTCTCAAATACCTTCTCAAACGTGTCGAACCTGGACCTGCACAACAGACAAGAGAATTTTTAAGAAGCTAATTTTAAGTAGAATGTAGAATTCTCACGGCGAGTTTGCTCTCTCTTCCTATATGCTTTGGCTTATAATCATTAATTATTGATGTCAAAAAAATTAATTCACTTTAAATTCTATTTTCATTATCATTGTACCACAGAATTTTCCCCCCAACATTACCTTTACTATATAAAATGTTCATTGAAGGGAAGGTTGCCCCCCCCCCCCCTTTTTACCATAGTACATGCAGCGATATCCAAGAATTGTAGGAAAAAAATTGGAATTGAAAGTAACATGGCTTTGAACAAGTTGCGTGAGGTATAATGTTTTCGACCCGTCGTCAGTCAGTCAGTCACTCCTGTTTTTTGGTTTTTTTGTCAGCGCAACTCCTCATAAACCAATGCATAGAATTTTGTTAAACTTTGCAGATATTTATAGGAGACACTGTGTAGAGTTGCACATCACCAGGAAATTCCGAATCCTTGATTTTTTTCGGGAATTTCCGCACTTTTACATTTAGATTTAGGCCATATCTTGAATATAGAGATGAGCAGTTTTTCAGCGCAACTCCTCATAAACCGCTGCACACAATTTCGTCAAACTTGGCAGATATTTAGGACACAATGTGTAGATGTGCATATTACCAGGAAATTCCGATTCCTCTATTTTTTCCGGGAATTTCAGCACTTCGACTTCTGGGGGAGCATGGGATATGTGAGCTTGCTCACTCTTTCTTTCATTGTGCGTATTTAAAATAACTTCAAATCAAATTATGTTAACTTTAAATCAAATTATATTGGGTCTGATAAAGCCAATACACAGCATTTATTTCATAATATTTGATCATAAAGAAATCCGATCTATTTCAGACGTTTTTCTTAAATCATTTTTTTTGAGAGTGTTATGCATGTTTTATTACTCCCCCCCCCCCCCACTCCTTTCACAGGAAAATATCTTCATTTCTTCAAAAGGTGAATGATTCGTAATAATGCATGCTTATTATAAATTTGATGAAATTAAACCATGTTTTCAAAAATTTTTTTTACAACATTTACAGACAAGAGTAATGTTTATTCTTGAAAAAAAAATTATTGGCATTTTCTTCAGTCAAACCCAGAGCTTTCAACCTTTGATATTTTCCCTGACCAAATAAAATAATCGGCATGGGCTACGTGTGTCCAAGCAGTTTTTTACTGTTGAGTTAGCAATGGATTACATGATTTCTGAGATGCATTTTTCAATAAAAGTAAAATAGGATGTGCACATCCCTGTAACGATAGCAGTATTCAGGTAAATGTTTTTATTACTGCGTTTGACGCGTTTTCTCGACTGACCTGCATGGGTTTTTGCTGTACTTGAATGTATTCCGTGTTAGTGTATTTTCTATATTGCAGCAAATGCATTCAAAAATAATTTCATTCTCAGTATAGTTCTAGTTTTTGTTGAATTTTTACTTTTCAAACATGCACTGGTCAGTTTATTGACTTCTAAAAAGTATGCTATCGGAGATGTGCACATGTCGACTGCCAGGCTAGAAAATCACTCAAGTGAAACAATTGTAAAAGATTATATATAGCAGGTACAGGTGGCCAAAAAATTTCGATTATATATGGCGGAATTGAAGAAAGATGGCTGACAAAGGCGTACAGGAATGTAGCAAGTCGTACAAAGATGAAAAATGATGCCTTTTTAAGAGTTCTTGTCAGCTTTAAGGTAGCTAATAAAATTACACCAAAGGAGATGGGTGAACTTAGCGTGCAGAAAGCCCACTAGGTTCAGATACATAAAAATCATATTCAGATTAGTGAATTTAGTATTTAGTGTAAAGTTCTCATCACTGATTTTTATGAAATCATGATAAACAAAAAAGATTGGAGGAAAATTTTTCGTTAAAATTTATTCTTTTATATAAAAAAATAATGTGGTATTCTTTGGGTTCGAACCCTGGCAATAAAAATCCTGAGTCTGCATTCTCTATTGAGACTAGCGCGCTAACCACTACGCTACACAAGTCCTGATGAAGTGTGGCATTTAAATCATGCTTGTGATATGACCATTGACTTAAGGGACTTCAAGTATTTCTCGAAAAGATACGAAAATTATGTCATAAAAATATATTTTTAAGGTATAGTGGGTCTTTGCCCCATAATTTTGAAAACCAAAATATATATGTTTGTATGCAAACTTTGAGGATTAACTTTCAAAAAAAATGGAGAGAAGACCCACTCATATCGAAAAATAGTGTTATAGTGTGAAAAAAATGACTCGTTTTGTCTTCTTTTGTGTGTGTATAATATTTCATAGGCAAATAACTTCAATCTTCATGAGATTTGTGCAAGTTGTAGAGATTTTACATAAAGTAGACTTTAATGTTAGATGAAATATTAAGGAAAATTTTGATATAATTGAGATTTAATTTTTAACCTTCATGTTTGTTGCGCTATGGGCCTATCTCTCGTCATGTTCACCCATCTCCTTTACTATGAAGTATGTGTAATATATAGTAAGGATCCGCTGTAATATTCTAGCTCTTTTGGTTCTTTATTACTACTAGAATGTATCATTTCGTTTTCAAGTCATTAATTTCGGGGAAATGTATGATGGAAGGTCATGTAACTTGTATTAATGAGCAAGAATTCATGTCTCTAGAAGTGTCAATTGAATGATAAGATTGTAAATAACATGAAACCAAAATGATGTAATAAATTACTAATATGCATGGGAGCGTTATTAGGAGAGTAACTAAATAGAAATATTATTAAATTACAAATCTCTGGTATAGCAAAAAATAACAAATGCATGAAGAAACTTGGATGGAAATTGTATTTTATTTTTTTAACAGAGGCATCCGGCACCAATAAGACACCCCCCTTGAGGCTTCAACACCACGACAACATCCCCCTCCAGCGCCACATCAATGATGTAGACAACCCCCTCCAGCGCAACATCAATGATGGAGACAACCTCTTCCAACCCCTCCAGCGCCACAACTCAAGGTACTTTAAGCTTGTCATGGCTAAGTTTGCTGAGCTGAGAGCTCATGCATGTAACCCTTTTTTAATGTGTGTCATTTATTAATTTGACTTTAATGTTGTAGAATCAACGTTGGATATGTTAAAGAGATTGAAACTGAATGTTAAAGATGAGGAGTGGGAGACCCTATCAGACAAAGCCTGGGGTAATTCCATAGATTATATTATTATGACTTCATGTTGTGTAATATTAATTCTTATGGTAATATTGCATAGGAAATAGGGCTGGGACGTGATATATGTGAGGACGATACACATATCGATACATTTGAAAAAATATCGACATATCGCCCAAAAACTCTGACATCTGTTTTTCTTTATTTATTTAACATTTGGTGTTTAAAATTTAAAATAAATAAGTTAAATATAAATGTAGATATGAAATAAATAATAATTAACACCACTTGAGCAAAATATTTTTGTTTTACAACATATAAACAACTATTTGAATAAATTATTCTCATCTGCAAAGAAATAATTTGTTTATTTCAATGCAAAAAAGGATTTTAT